ACTTTGCTGGATATAAAGGGTAATATCTCAGCCACTGCTGCAGTTGCATTAATGATTGAGATATCATCTTGCGATTCCCTTCAATGTAAAGGTAATCCTCATGACTAAGAAGCCACTGGATTACTTATACAAGTCAGTGGAAACAGAAACAACACCTCCTGCGCTCAGGGATCCAGATCAAGGGTGGGTGGATGGAAAGACCACTTATGGAAGTTCGTCCAAAGGTTGTGCAGCTCTTAACAAGGCTGTGGAAGCCTGACCAGTATTGCAAAGTGAAAACAAAAAGAAAGCACACCAACCTTGCGCATTACCTCAATAAAAACCTGTGGTTTTATTAAAATGAGATGTATACTCACAAACAAAGCAGTATAACAAGCGTATAAAATCCTGAAAGGAATATTGAAGTGCAAGACCAGTGCAAGTCGCATCAAGAGGGGAGACTCTCGGAGTTCAGCTGACGCATTTTGAAGGGAGGTCCCTTCTTCCTCAGAACTCAATATCTCATTTTAATAAAATCAGTTTTTTATTGAGGTAATGCGCAAGATTGGTGCACTTTCTTTTTGTTTTCACTTTGCATTACTTCTACAAGTGGCAGAAGGGAGTGCCACCCACCCTCCCGCTGTCACCTCCTTAACAGACTCTTCTGTGCGATCGGGGAGCCTGGTAATGATGCGACTGCCGGCATTCGATTCCTGGGACACAATGAGAGGAACTGATGTTGGTCCTCCCATTGTGTGATGTCAGGAACTGGAAGCAATGAGGATTTTGTCACTTCCGGTTTAGGACTGATGTAAACAAGCTTTGAAAAAGCATCTGATCAAACTACTTACTTGAACTACTTACAAGTAATCCTTGTACGTGCAAAGGAACAATAGAACAACATAGCACACAGCATTTTTTCCTATTTTTCTCAGCTTTTTACTAACTATATTAGATAAGTGTACGCATTTAGATCTGTTACTAATGTACTCTTTCTGTAATCCAAAAGAGTAATGTGCACTTTCTTAGAATAGTGGAAACACAAAAGTTATTTGGAATCTACTGCATCATCAAGAGGAAAAAATGACCATGCACTGTGGGGGATTTGTTTTAACTGTTCTTGTTTGTTTGGTTATGTTTAGAAGCACGTTCATTTCTTGAAAAGTAGAACAAAATACAATACAATACATTTGTTAACTTGGATTTGGAACCATCAGTGAGAAATTTCCCCTCAAAACAAATCTTTTTCGTGGTGTTTCTTACTTAGTGGGTTGGTCTCCAGCTTAATGCTTGAGGGACAAGTTCATTTTGGTTATGATAGTCATTATTGAATGGTTAGACTGGGCTTTTTTGACTTGGCTTTTGTTTTAGTTAGCTTTTATGCTTCTTTATGTATTGGGTTACTCCATAACAGGGGTGGACTGACAACTCATGGGGCCCCTGGGCAATAGGGGATCATGGGGCCCCTGTGTCCTTGCTCACACTCAAAAAAGCCTATAAAAAAAGTACCAGGGGCATTCCATGGGGCCACCTACTGACCCCGGGCCCTCGGGCAGTGCCCGAGTGCTGGAATGGTAAGCCCGCCCCTGCTCCATAATAAACACTGCGGCCCTTTAAAGCCATTAACCAATGTATTGTGTGTGTCTGAGTTCTTATTGATTGTTTATTAACCACTTGTGTACCGGGCACTTTTACCTCCTTCCTGCCCAGGCCAATGTTCAGCTTTCAGCGCTGTAGCACTTTGAATGACAATTGCGTGGTCATGCAACACTGTACCCAAACAACATTTTTATCTTTTTTATTGAAACATAAAGAGCTTTCTTTTGGTGGTATTTAATCACCACTGGGTTTTTTTATTATTTGCTAAACAAACTAAAAAAGACTGAAAATTTTGAAAAAAAAGTTTTTTCTTAGTTTCTGTTATAAATTTTTATAAACAAGTAATTTTTCTCCTTCACTGGTGTGCGCTAATGAGGCTGCAGTGATGGCACTGATAGGCTGCACTGATAGGCGGCATTGATGAGGAGGCACTGATAAGTGGCACTGATGGGCATTGACAGGCATCATTGATGGGCACTGAAAATCAGCACTCATATATGGCACTGATTGGAACTATTAGGCGGCACTGATTGGAACTGTTAGGCGGCACTGATAGATGGCACTGATTGATGGCACTGATAGGCGTCAGTGACTGACACTGATAGGCAGCACTGAAAAGCAGCTCTGATGGACACTGATATGTGGCATTGATGTGCACTGGTAGGCACTGATATGTGGCATTGATGGGCATTGACAGGTGGCACGGATAGGGCTACACTGATCATCAGTGCCCTGATGATTAGTGTAGATGTCCCCTCTGAGGAATGCTGCTGACCGGCTCTCCTCTCCTCACGCACTGTCAGCGTGAGGAGAGGACTTCCGATAACTGGCATTTCCTGTTTACATACGATCAGCTGTGATTGGATACATCTGATCACATGACAGAGCCTGTGTCATCAGCTCTTTATTGTGATCAGTAATCCGCTGTTTTCCAGGGACACAGCTCACCACCAATTGGCGCGCCATGTGCCCCCGGGGGCGCTCATGCGTAGTTAGACTTCCTCCCAGAACAAGAGAGCTGCCGTCCGCCCATCATTTCCTTATATGGTGGGCGGGAGTCGGTTGATGTTGGTATTTTGGGCTCCCAAGTCACATACCATAATCTGGGAACTGGCAGTAATTCTTTTTGAATATGTCACACCCATAGCAACAGATACTTAAGGCGATACAAATAATAACTACCTAAATCTGTTGCATGCTTTGGAACTCTTATAGAAAGTGTCAGAAGGCTTTCATAAATTAGACACAGACCATTTTAAAGGGACCATACCGCAGAAAAAGTTTTGGCAGTGCTTTATAAAAAAAATGAAATGTCCCCCTGCAAGTTAATATCAGAATGCTTTGCAGTTCATCATTAACCAATTCAGTACCAGACACTTTCACTCCAGGCCAATTGTCAACTTGAAGCACTGTCACACTTTTAATGCCAATTACTCAATCATGCAAAACTGTACCCAAATTAAGTTTTTATAATTTTTTTTAAACAGACACAGCTTTCTTTTGGTGGTAGTCAATCATAACTGTTTTTTTTTATTTATTTAATTTTTGGTATAAATACATAAAAAAAACACTTTTTTTTTTTTCTTTGTTTCTGTTATAAAACTTTGCAAATAAATCATTTTTCTTCATAAATTTAAGCCAAAATGTATTCTGTTACATTTATTTGCTAAAATAAACCAAATCAGAGTATATTATTTAGTCTGTGTGAAAGTTATACACACAATAACTATTGTATATACAGTATATTTGAAAATCTCATTCCTTGAAGCCCTAAAATGTCAGGATAGTACAAATACCCTCCAAATGACCCCTTTTTTTGGAAAGTAGACAATCCAAAGTGTTTATTAAGAGGCATGACACATTTTTTGAAGTTTGTATTTTTTTGTCAAAAGTTTTTTTTTAGAATGAAGGCATTAAATACATTTTTATCCACAATTTTTTTACTTTCTGTCACTAGTGTGTTACTGCGTCATCATAGGGCTGGTGTGGTTGTGATCAGGGATACTGACTGGTGACAGTATGTAAAATAAATTAATAATTTTTTTCCCATTTTTAAAAAACATTTTCTTTTCTTTTTTGTTATTTTTCTTTCTTTTTTTTTTACAATTGTTTTTACATACTGTGACCAGAGCAGTGTTGTGTTACCATAGTGACACTACTACACTGGGGAGGTAATCAGAATTTTTTTTTCACACTATGATTGCTTATAATAGTGCTTGATCACTTTCATAAGCAATCATGTTTATTAATGCTATCCATTCACAGACATTCATTGATTAGTATTGTGATTAGCTATGATTGTCCACAGCTATCACATTGTACCGATGGGCTGTGATTGGCCCTGTCTGTATCATATGATCACTGTGACCAATCACAGAGCTCATCACAAAAGTACACAATGATTGGCTATGAATGAAAGGCACTCATTGTGTATAAATATCATGTGACTGCTGTGATTGGTACCAGGACTGGTCTGATCTGTTCCGTGGACACAGTGGTTGACAGATCGCCCTGTATTGCATCCGTGTGACTGGGAGGATGTCATATGACGTCCACCCATGATAGGAGAGCTCCCACTAGGCCGTCATTTGACAATAGGCTGGGCAGGAAGCGGTTAAATAGGAAATACAAACCAAATGATATTTAAAGCAGTATTAAACAAAAAACAAAAATGTAACAGACATAAATTAATGCTGCATTGTAAACACTAATACATCATTAAAATTATTAAAACAGCACTAAACCTAAAATCAAAGACCTTCAACAAATAGACATGTTTTTGCTGTTCTTATGTATCTTATCAGTGTGTGTTCATTTGCTGTTTCTTTAAACTTCTGCTTTATAAACGTTTGCTATAGTGAACATGTGAAAAGTGAGTTGATAACTCTCCTTCACTTTTTCTGTTATGGAGACATCCTTTTGTTTATTTATCCAAGAAGCCAGATGTGTGTTGCCAACACATTTTCTTCTGCATTTTCGTGGCACCATCCACCAGGCAGCAACCCGCATGTGGACGGATTTGGTGTGTAATAGGGTATCTTCATAACTGCTATGTTTCTTTTGCAAAGGGGCTCCTAAAGCATAATGTTAGTGTATGAATCTGGAAATGTTTATATTTTATATCTATTATGATCGCTGAATTTTCAGTTTATGTAATCAGAGTTGTAGGAGATTTTGCCAATGCAAAGACCCTTGCTATAGGATCTCAAATCAAACCACATCAGAAGAACCACATAAATGTTATTTCACTTTACTACAAGTTCCTGAAAAAAATACTGTAACATGATAATATGAACCTGGTAGAAGTAGAGTAGTAGAGGTCAAGCGATACATTTGATTACACTTTAACAGCTTCCCGACCGCCCTATAGCAGCTATACTGCTGCAGGGCAGCATGGGTGTGCAAAATAACGTATATATATGTGATTTTGCATTTTCGGGTAGGAGACATGCGTGAGGCGTGCGCCCTACCTGTGCTGCCATTCGTGCCCGCGGCTGTCAATCACCGTTTCCCAGTGATTACTCGGCAGCGCCCCGTGAGTGCCGAGGATCCCCGGCAGGAAGGAAAACTGTATGTAAACAATACAGTTCTCCTTCCTGTCAGCTCGTGCACACTGGTTTGGATGGCTGTGCACAGCACAGCCATCCAAAGCAGTGTGATTACATTACAGTGAAGCACAGACACACAGCCCAAAGTAAAACAGCACACAGTTAACCCTTTGATCGCCCCTCATGTTAACCTCTTCCTGCCCAGTGCCATTAGTACAGTGCTTTTTTTTTTTAGCACTGATCACTGTATTGGTGTCACTGGGGATGTCAGTGACACCAAGTCAGTTCTCCCCAGTGTCAGAATGCCCGCCGCAGTCTCGCTACAAGTCGCTGATTTCTGCCGTTACTAGTAAAAAAAAATAAAAAATTCCAGTATCTATACTGCCATTTACAAACGCTAAAACTTTTATGTAAACCATATAATTTACATGTATTGGGATTTTTTTTTAGCAAAGACATGTCGCAGAATACATTTTGGCCTAAATTTATGACGAAATTTGATTTTTTAAAATTTTTTTACTGGACAATTTAATAGAAAAAAGTAAACAATATTGGGTTTTTTTCTCAAAATTGTCTTTTTTTTTTTATAGCGCAAAAAACAAAATGTTCACAGGTGATCAAATACCACTGAAAGAATGCTCTATTTGTGAGGAAAAAGGACGTAAATTTCATTTGGGTGCAGTGTTGCATGACCGCGCAATTGTCAGTTAAAGTAGCGCAGCGCCGTAACGCAAAAAATGGCCTGGTCAGGAAAGTACTTGGTGTCATCCTAGACTCCAATCTGTCCTTCCAGCCCCAGGTCCAATCCCTGACAAACTCATGTAGACTTCAGCTCTGCAACATTTCCAAAACACGTCCGTTCCTAACCCTGGAAACTACTAAGCAACTCATTCACTCCCTTATCATATCACGACTTGACTACTGTAACTCCCTCCTCACCGGCTTACCTCACCACAGGCTATCCCCGCTTCAGTCTATCCTGAATACAGCGGCCAGACTCATCCACCTTACCAACCGCTCCATATACACCACCCCCCTCTGCCAATCCCTCCACTGGCTTCCGATTGCCCAACGGATCAAATTCATAATGCTAACTCTGACGTACAAAGCTGTCCATAACACTGCCTTAAACTACATCACCGACCTGATATCCAAATACCACCCAAAACGTACTCTCTGCTCCTCACAAGACCTCCTTTTCTCTAGTTCCCTGGTCTCCTCCTCCCTTGCCCGCCTCCAGGACTTCTCTAGGGCTTCCTTCAACCTCTGGAACTTCCTACCCCAATCCATTAGACTATCACCTAGTCTCCTCTCCTTTAGATGCACCCTGAAAAACCCACCTCTTCAGGGAAGGCTACCCCGCAATCAGCTAATTGCCGATCTCCTCCACTCTTCCTACCACTCCATCCCCCACAGCTATTCCTCCCGTACACTATCCCCTCCCTCCTAGATTGTAAGCTCCAAGGAGCAGGGCCCTCGAACCCCTCGTGTATCGCATTGTATTGTTATTGTACTGTCTCGTGTACTGATCGCGAACTGTTGGCGCTATATAAATACTGTATAATAATAATAATAAAAAAGGGGGGGGGGGGTAAATCCTCAGGAGAGCAAGTAGTTAATAGTGTGGGCAAGGAAAAACTGATGTTCTCTTGTAGTTAGGCTAGAAATGAGCACAGTGTATAAGTGAAATGGGGTCCGTATCTCTACTATTAGGTCTCATTCATATGGGTCATCGACTTCCGATGGCAAGAATCACCAGAGTCTTGCTGATGGAATCACTGGTGTTTACTTTAGCTGTGGCCGCTCTGCCTGTCTGAATGAATAAAAAAAAACTGGCAGCGGCCTTGGCTGTCCACAGATAAACACAAACCCAATGTTTAGGGAGGGATGATAGTCACTGGATGCAGACAGATGCGTCAAGGGTTGGATTCTTCCCAAAGGAACCTCTGTTTTTGCGGATACATGCAAACAGTGATGGATAGCCTCTATTTTTGCGGATACATGCAAACAGCAATGGATAGCCTCTGTTTTTGCGGATACATGCAAACAGCGATAGATAACCTCTGTTTTTGCGGATACATGCAAACAGCAATGGATAGCCTCTGTTTTTGCGGATACATGCAAACAGCGATAGATAACCTCTGTTTTTGCGGATACATGCAAACAGCAATGGATAGCCTCTGTTTTTGCGGATACATGCAAACAGCGATAGATAACCTCTGTTTTTGCGGATACATGCAAACAGCGATGGATTCTGTTAATGCTTTGTACAGGCTGAGCAGATTCCGCTGTTCGCATATACCTGTCATTCCAGCAGCAAGAGCGTGCTGATTCTTGCTGCGGGAATACAGTGAACGCCCTTAATTACCTGTGTGAAGGAAGCCTTAACTGACGGGTTTTAGAAGATGACTAGGAAAATGAGTAGCCAAAGTAGAAAGCTCAACTCAAGCCAAGATAGAGCATGGATAGAGAATAGGAAAGTTAAAGTCTCTACTGAGTTCCTGTTGGGGGGACTTCTCCTCAGTTCTTTTCAGGACAACAAGAAATTAGTAATCTTTCCATCTGGGCTACAGACAAAAGCAACACACATATCTTTAGTAGAATAGGGGAGGTTTAAAACATTTTTATTGCTATCTGTGTCTTTTTTCCAGGTGATGACTGCACTACCCACGACTTGTTTAGATGTCACAGGGACAGGAACTGAGGGGAAATCTTTCCAATAGAGTTACAGACAGGAAGAAATACCTGACAGAAGTGTTATCTATTTAAACCCAAGAACCTAAAATGTTATATATTACAGCTTACAAGTCCGTAGCTGTGGTGGCTGCATTTGTTTTCTTTTTTCAAGCTAAATGCATTTTCTGAAAGTACAGAAAAAAAATGCCTGTTGATCCTGTCTGAAATCTAGTATCCTATAATCTACAAAAATATTATCAGCTTTCTAAGCTATCATCTGTGATCTATAAAAACCTCTGACTATGTAATGGAGAGGAGGAGGTGTTTGTAGTCCAAATTAGGAGAGCAACCTAGGTTGACCACACTGCTGCTATACAGATGCAGTACGGTGAGTGAGCACCAGGGGTGGACTGACAACTCATGGGGCCCCCGGGCAATAGGGGATCATGGGGCCCCTGTGTCCTTGCCCAAACTCAAAAAAGCCTATGAAAAAGGTACCAGGGGCATCTCATGGGGCCCCCTACTGACCCCAGGCCCTCGGGCAGTGCCCGAGTTTCCAAATGGTCAGTCCGCCCCTGGTGAGCACTGTCATCCCAGAACAAGAAGTGTGTTACAGTTAGGATCACATGATAAAAATAAAGGAATGGAAACATAAAAAGGAAAAGGATATAGTCAACACATCAAAAGGCTGATTATCTGTTAAATATTACATTTTTGTGCTTGGGTGTGGATACACGTTAACTAAGAATAGAATTTAAATAATGATGACAGTTAAGCTTTAATAAAGCACATCCCATTATAATGATTACAGGGATTTACTGAAATTAAATGAAATTTACAAATCTACAAGTAGATACAAGTGAGGTTTTATAGGTGACTTAGGAGAACTGGGCAGTATAGAGGGGAGACAATATTATAGTACTGAGAGCACGTAGTTCTCTAATGTTTTCCTTGCACATAGACTAAAGATCTGCTGTTGATTACTATACTGTATAGTGCAGACACACTCCTCCCCAACTTTCTATCATACAGTATGTGTTTTGCAGAGATACCTTCTCCAAGCAGAATGACAGTAATTTTATGTGTGCACTTCTATGGCCATGACGATAATGCTAGAAGCCCAACACAATCTACATCCGTATGCCAGCGTGCCTATTATCTTTGCTATCACTAAACAGGCATCTTCCATTTTTCTGTTTCTTAGGGTCCTAAAAACCCTGCTCACCATGGAAAAAAAACTATTGTTTAACTATCATGATTTGTGCTGTATTCTGTGTTATTCATACATCATATTCTTTGAAGATAGATCTTTATCTTTCTTGAAAAGCAACTCTGTTTAGTAGAAACGGGTCAGGGCTCCATTACCTATGCATTTTTAAGACTGTTTGGGGCCCTGTAAGGAGATGTACACATCACACAAATACATTGTAAGAAATATAAAGAGGAAAACGTACAGGCGCATAGTTTTGCAGACTATTTCTGTATCTTTGACAATTGCCTGGTAGGCATATTAAACATATTAGAACTGGCATAAAGTGATTCTAAAGGCTCTGATTTTATTTTTTTAAAATAACAAAAATGTCATACTTACCTGCTCCGTGCAATGGTTTTGCACAAAGCAGCCCTGATCCTCCTCTTCTCGGGCCCCCCACAGTGCTTCTGGCCCCTTCACCCTGTCAAGCACCCCATAGAAAGCCACTTGCTATGGGGGCACTTGTGCATGCTACACCCCAAGTTGGCTCTGTGTATCCAAAAGACAGTTTGTCTACTGCAAGTATTTAGTTTTGGCTGCCTTAGCAGGGTAGAAGGGGTTTGCAGGCTTTTCTGGGTCCGGCCCTCCTATCCTGAGTGGTTACAAATAGGATAGGGGGTTGGATCCCGAGGGAGAGTGAGGGTCTTGAGAGAATCGTCTTAGAGTCTTCTGCTAAACTCTGCCTGGGGAAGCGCAATATTGCCAACATGTAAAGGGTCTTCTGGGACTTGTAGTCCATGCTGAAGACACCGACTTGTCGGGACACCATCACCATGGATCACTGCCACTATCAACTTGCCAGTATTGGACTCTACCTATGCAGATATGCTGGGCCCACGGTTAGTCAGTTAGGGAAAACACTTTTTGAACTGTTTTGCTGAAATTTCTTACTAAAGCCCTTTTGAACCGCTGTTCTGTCTGATCTGAAGTTTTTAAAGGGGTGTATGAAAGTAATTGCCATGCTACACATTGATATCTGAAGCTCGGGTCAGTTAAAGCACACCAGGGTATGAAGTCAGTCTCTACGAGAATTAACATGGTGCAGAGGATAAGCAAACTGTTGTCAGGAGTAACTAGGGACTAGTAACCAGTAGAAGCAAGAGAAATCATATTGGGGACCAAGAGAGGCCACCCTGTGAAAGGCTTTAAAGGAGGACCAGCCGCAATGTAACCAAACAAATATAGCTTTATTGTGGATCCATACCATTAAATATAATAGTAGGACATTTAGTGGTATTGATCCACACAGGGATATCTGTTTTAATAGCCTTGCGGCTTATTTGGCAGCTCATCTGGGCCAGACCGTCAGCCCTGTTAAGGGGTTTTTGTTATCACTCCCAGAGTGGTAGCGGACGGGAAGACTAGACACAGTCCGCTAAGTGTCAATTTGTTAATTCTACCCACCTGTTCCTTGGACTGATGGCTTGTCATG